ATTTTTCTCCATGGAGGCTGCACAGTTGCCTGACATTGGGGGATGGGAAGGATTCCTTCCAGGTTCATTGTATCCTGAACTAAGAACTGGACAGGACACACAGAAAAGGTGGCGAGGGAGTACATTTATTGAAGGTGGAAAAGAAGCAAGTGCTACAGGGTAAAACTGGGTGTGGTGGTGCAGTCCTGTAATTCCAGCACTTGGGAGGCTGAGGCAGGAGGATGAGGAAGGATGGAGGTCACCCTGGGCTCCATAGTGTGTTCAAGGCCAGCCTGTACCACACAGGGAAACCCTGCCTTAACCAAACCAAACCAAACAAAACCAAACAAAGCCCTCTACAAGCCAAGAGAGGGCTAGTGCAGCTGGAAGATAAGAGAAAAAGGTCTTTAGGGGTGGGGATTTAGCTCAGTGGCAATGTGCCTGCCTCACAATCCCAAGGTCCTGTGTTCGGTCTGGTCCATGGTACCAAAAAGAGAGAGAGAAAGGAGTCTTTGGTATCCAAAGTTCCTGGATCAGCTTCTCCCTCATGCAAATAAGAGACTTAGACATCTGTCCTATCAAAAATTCAGGGGCTGGGCTGGGGATTTAGCTCAGTAGTTCTGCTGCCTGCTGTGCAAGCGCAAGGTCTGGAGTTCAATTCCTGGTTCTAAAAAAAAAAAAAATTTCACTGAGCCGAGCCTGGTACCCTATTGAAAGTGTTCTATGGAAAGACTCACTTGGCTTCCAGCCAGATCCAAATGAAGAATTGAAAATAGCGTTTTTCTGATTGGTACTGGCAGCAGTGCTGGATTCAAATGAGGGATTGAAAATACCGCTTTCTTATTGGCTCCAGGTACAGTGCTCAGCTAGGCAGTGGTTTTGAATCCTGAGTTCTGCACATGTCCTCTGGGTTCTTATGACCCTTGAGCAGTTCTCTGTCACTTTGCCCCTGCCCTAATCTCCTGCCTCAGTGACACCAGCAATGCACTGGAGCATTCTCTCTAGCATATGAGGTTTTGCCAATATCATAGGTTAAAAAATGCTACTTTGGAGTAGTTTTTGTTAGTGTCCTTCACCCCCACCCTCCCCCTTTTTCTTCTCCTTTTCCAGTCCCGGAGACCCACCCCAGGGCCTCAGGCGAGCCTCCCTGGCCCTCTGCTGCTGGCCTGTCCCCACCTCCGTTGGTGAGGTTTTTATTACCAGGGACGGTGAGCAGCTTTCCAAAAAGTTAAGGACCACCTGTCTATCTTTCTCTGAGAGCTGTCTGTTCTTTTATGCATTGGAAAAAATTGAAGCTTTTGTCTTTTTTTTTTTTTTGGAACTGAGGATTGAACTCAGGACCTTGCACTTGCCTGGGATGTGGGGTTCCACTGAGTCACATCCCCAGCCCCAGGTCTTTTTCTGTATCATTTTAAAAAGTCCTTTATATATTAAGGAGACAGGCATCTCATGTATAATGTAAATTGTAAATATCTTCTCCAAGATTGTCTCAACTTTTATTTTGCTATGGCCTCATCCTTTTTTCTCTTTTTTTCTGTAATGAGAATTGAAACCAGAGGGAATAAACTGAGCTGCATTCCAGGCCTTTTTAAATTTTGTTTTTGAGACAAGGTCTAGCTGTCATTAGGGTGCCCAGCCTCCCAGCATGCTGGGATTTCAGGCATGGGCCACCACACTGAACTGGCATCACCGTTTCTTAAGCAATTTCTAATTGTGTTTTCGTAGATTTATTTACAAATTTTCTTTTATTGTGCTTGGTTTTTTCTCTAGTCTGTGTGTGTGTGTGTGTGTGTGTGTGTGTGTGTGGTTTTTTTGAGACAAGGTCTTGCTATGAAGCCCAGGCTGGCCTCAAACTCATGGTGAGCCTCCTGCCTCAGCCTCCCAAGTGCTGAGATTACAGGCGTGCATCACCACACCCAGCTGCTCCAGCATTTTACTATGAACCATTAAAAACCTACAGAAAAGCTGAAGAAATGACACAATTCTACCACCAACACCTGACCATCCCTGATTGACTCACCACTAGTTCATCTACCTTTCCCGAACCTTTCAAAGTCCATCACAGGGATAGCGCACTCCCCAAATAACTCAGCCCATACATGGTTAAACTACAGTTCAGTACTTATTAGTACTTCTTTTTGTTGTTTCAAGTTTTCAATATTTAGATTTTTCCTACTCCAAGATAGAAAAGAAAACCAAAAAAAAAAATTTTTTTTTAAGGGCCAGGAATTTAGCTCAGTGGTTTCACTGCCTGCTGCACAAGTGCAAGGACCTGAGTTCAATTCCTGGTACCAAAAAAAAAAATTAAAAGAAAACCCAGTATGATGGCACATGCCTTTGATCCTCCTCCCTCACCTTCCTGAGTGCCGAGGCAGGAGGATCACTGTGAGTTCAAGACCAGCCTGGACTACATAGCAAGCAAGGCCCTGCCTCAAAAAACCAAAAAAGGTGAAAAATATTGACTCTTGTACTCCAGCAATTCTGTTACCCTTTTTATGTGGGGAGTGCTGATTCATTTCAAGCTTATGTTGTGCATGATGTAAGGAAGGAAGGAATACAATTTTTACACATTGAAAGACTCCATTTTAAAATTATTTTTATTGAGATATCACCCACATAAGATTCACCCTTTTAATGTTTACAATTCCTGAGTTTTCAGTACATTCACTAAGGTGTGCAACCACCACTACAATTTCATTTTTTTTAAATTTAAAAATGTCACCTGCCAGGGATTTAGGTGAGGGGCACTGCACCTGCCTTGCAAGTGCAAGGTCCTGAGTTCGATACCCGGTGCCAGAAAAAAATTTTTTAATATGTCATCAAATGGCTGTCTAGCATTTCACAGCGCATATTAAAAATTCCATCTTTCTGCCAGAGGGGAGTGAGGCCATCCTTGTCACCCAACATCCAGTGTCCCACCAGCCTGCTTGTCTCTTTGTTCCGACCTGAGACCTTCTGGACGGCATCTTCACTGACACAATTTTTTTTTTTTGGTACCGGGGATTGAACTCGGGTCCTTGTTCTTGCACAGCAGGCGGCAAAAACTACTGAGCTAAATCCCCGGCAGAGGGCATCTTCACTGAGACCGCGTTACCACGCTTTGAAGGAAGGAGAAAAATTTGACCTTGCTTACTATAGACAGAAGCCGGATTCCCCAGCGACTGTTGGTAAGCCATACGGGTATGATGAAAGGCAGCAGGAAGCTCTGCAGGAGAGAGGCAGAGTCAGCTCGGCCTCCCCTTCTGCCTGCGCACCCCCAGCCCAGGCAGGGAGCGCCCGCCCAAGAGGCACCTGCAGTTCGTGGTTGAGGCAGCCACAGACGTGGGAGGAGAGGCCCAGCGTGTCCAAGGCCGTGCGGGCGAACTCGTCGGCACTCTTCACCAGCAGCCCGGTTGAGTTGTTGTTGATCATGTTTGTGGAGACAAACGAGGGGCTCACCGTCTGCAGGAGAGGACGGAAGGGGTCCAAGAATCAATGCTGTGCCTCTGTTAAGACCCACCCACCTCCCCTGTCTAGCTGAGTATCCAAGACCCCAAGACCTAGACCCGGCCCCCAGATAGAGCCCTGCCCTAGACCCCGCCTCCAAGGCCAAGGCCATGCCCAGTCTAGACCCCGCCCCCAGATGGCGATGGCCCAGTGGCCTAGACCCCGCCCCTAAAGCCAAGGCCACTCCCCAAGCCCTAGACCCACCCCCAGGTATAGACCCCACCCTCAACGCTCCATCCTAGCCTGCGGTGGGAACACAACCCCATGGATCCCTATTGAACCACTGATCTTTAAGTCACCAGACTCTCTTCCTTCTCCTCCAGAGCTGCTACCCCAGCCACATCCTTTGAGCCCTCCACCCGCCCCCAGTCGGGCACCTGGATGGTGACACCGTGAGGGGAGTACTCTGCGCCCACAGCCTCGGAGAAGTACTGCACAAAGGTCTGCAGAGGAAGGAGAGGAGGTCCCGGGAGTGAGGCCCTGACCCCCGGGCCAGGTACTGTTGTTCCCCTTGTCCCACCCCCATTCAGCACTTTCCCACCATGAGCTCCCAGCCAGGACACAGGGAGAGGGAGGACTCTGGCTCAGCAGGGCGCCCCCCGGAGTCTGGGGGTCCGGGTACCTTAGTGGCTGAGTATAAGGCAGTAGACAGGATGCCCCTTTCAGAGACTAAGGAGGACACGTTGATGATGACGCCCCTGCCCCTGGCAGAGCAAACCGTGTTAGAAGGTGGTCACTGCCCAGGGGGATAAAGGGGCGGGGTGGGAGTCCCCACCCACCCTTAGCCGGAGCCCTAATCTGAAAGGCCTGGGGAGAGTGGGGACTGGGACCTGGCATGGTAGTGCATGCCCATAATCCCAGGAGCCCGGAGGCTGAGTCAGGAGGGTCACGAGTTGGAGGTCAGTTCAGGCTGACACACACACAAAAAGACTTGGAAGCGGGGCGGGGCTGGAGAAAGGGGAAAGCCTGGAGGCTGGGGGCATCGATGACAGAGCGGCTGAGGG